TACATTAGGATCATTTCTGACACTTTAAGTAAAATCGTCCAGGATGATCCACGATCGTACTAGACGATCCACTGGTTTCAGAATTGAAAACTTGCAGTTTTTGGGCAGTTTTTCTTGTCTTTTGTATATATAGTCTAAATTAGACTGCCACCCAATCTTTTTGTAATTATTATATTAAATTCATAAATCATTATTAAAATAAATTTATTAAATTAAATTAAATTAATTAAATTGATTAAATTAATAATAAGTTCTAATTTAAATAAAATAAAAAAATAAAAGAGAAACTTTGCCTTATTGGCGCTCTGGTTGGGTGCTTGATAGCGAGCCGGCAGGAGTTCGAATCTCGTCGTAGGCGAGCTGTACGTAGGTCAGTGAGCTGGAATGGGTGGGCTGGCTAGCATGCGCATGGGTGGGGCGGGCTAGTGCAGGGTGGGCTGACATCCTAATCATGATCATCCTTATTCAAGTAACCTTTCTATGGAGAAACCTATCAAACCCTACCTCAACTATGTAATAATTAAGCATGATCATCTGTGTAGCGTGTAAGACATAAGTCACATCATCAATAGCAAAATTCCTAAGTTGTTGTTGGCTGACTCCCTTAATTGTGATAAGCTTCGTAAAGAGTAGTGCGTGAGTCCCCAATAGAAGGCGAGTCTTAAGTACCCATGCATTATATGTGACAATATGCACCATGCCATAATCCACTATATGGTATGCCCACTCCTTTTTGTGACAAGCTTTGTAAAAGTAGCACGTGGTTCCCATCTCAGTTGGTAAAATCTCACACCATAGATGATGGAAGCAAACAACCTTGACAAGTGATTCCCTCACCCTTTAACGCGACAAGCTCCATAATATGTGTAAAGCACAAGTCCCCTCAACCAGTGAGTCTTGCTGGTTATCCCCGCGTAGAACAAGAGTCTGGAATAAGGTGCAGTCCATCATAGGAAACTTTGAGTACTAGCAACAAACCCACTCATCATTGATTGGGAAGGTCAATTTGTGCTGCGAAAGAAAGAAAATTCTAAAAACTCAACAAGTTCACAATTAGCAAACAAAAAAAATCTTATCTCGCCACTCAGGTATGAGAAAGGTATGAAGAATAATTGAGTAACAAAAGAATCTCTTGATATCTATATTCATATTACCAAAAACAAAGTCTATTACACAATTTGGGATGATATGGCTCATTTATTGATCACACTTGCACCTTCACTCTCTCTTTCTCATTATCACTCTTAGAAAATTCCATAAAGCAACTGGAAGGATCCCCAATTTTGGGATGGAGTTTTCCTTTGGCCAACAGCCTCCGAACACAATCAATGACCCCATCAAAGTAACAGTCACCCAAAAGACATTCAAAGTAACCACTATGAACAACAAGGACTTTGTCTAGTTTCATGACCAACTCGGCAACAATTGCCTCAACTTGTTCCTTAGTCTTGGCAAATGTAGCAAAATCAGAAGCCACCACCTTAGCTTAATCCTTGACTCTATAACCGAAGTCACTAAATTTTTTTTCAACTCTTATTTGAATTGATCCTGACTATTTAGTCGGGTGATCTCCTCCTCTCCTCTAATAGAATCCACTTCTGTCATTTCTAAATGGCCCTTTCTCTCTTCCTCCAGGTCAACCTAGACAAGCTTCTTCATATCATTCAGGCAACTAGCTTTAGCAATATAGTCAATATAATACTTTCCTTAAAAAAAGACCTTTTAGTAGAAATAAGCTAATGAATTCATGGCAGAGTATTCCAATCTGTGACAATCCAATTTTGATATATACATCTCTAACGACTCGCTATAAAGAAGCTTTCCATTCTCAATGCATGAGCTGGATATCAGGTAAGGGCCCTGACCTTAGCTCTTAGAACACTCCTCGCTAGTGGGCGAGACCTTATTATTAGATAATTTTGCATAACCCTTGGAAAACTCTGAGGCTTCCGTGCCCTCAATAGACTCTTTCTCTTTACTCGGAATAACAATCTCATCGCCCCTGACACCTATCTTGACTGACACTTCCTTCCTTCCATAGGATTATGTAATCTCCTTTCCCCTTACAGATAGGGGAGGACAGACCTATTCCTCAAGTGCCAGTGATATATTTGACACTAGTACCTTGAAGCTCATCCCTACATCTACATATTTCATCTTCTTCGAGTAGACATTATGAAGTTAGGAACTGACCACAAAAGGCTTCTCCTTTGGCCTCCCATCGATAGAGTAGCTGTCTTCAAAGACGCCAAGTATAAGGGGAAATTGTAACACCACCGCCTCTTCAAGACAAACGAGTCACTTACAATAAAAGTCTTATAGATATTCTAGTCGGGGACATGGTGTTGAATGAACAATGGCTCATTCTTCATCAATGTTAGCACCACCGCCTCTTCAAAAGATAGCCCAGGAATGACCAACTTCCTCTTTCTCAATGCCATTAGAGTAGTCGGCACTTCCAGTCCGACAGAATCAGAACAACAATGAACTTCGCCTTCCAATCTAGCACCTTGTTCATCAGACCTATAGTTTTGTTGAACGCATAAGAAAACTGGATGAAGCACTCTTGGGATGCCTTTGTCATTAATACATGTCTAAACAGGTTCAACAACCATGGCAAGTCATATTCCCTCACAAGAGAAATAAATAACACAATCTTTGCTAAAGAATTTGATGAAAGTTGAGCCGAAATTACTCAATGGAAATTCATAATCTTCACTATCATGACACATAAGGGGAATCAAAGCCCCAATGCCAAGTGATCAACAAGAATGACCCATTTCTCATCAAACATAGAGTTAATACGCTAATCTTCCTTCGTAGATCGTACAGAGTAGTTGGCATGAGCAAAATAGAAAGCATAATAAAACATATTCGGCATACTATTCTATAAGGAGAGTACTAGGCAATCCATTCTTACTAAGGAATTTACTCACACACTTGCACATACTAGACATATCAACAAAGATATTTGAGAGTACATGAAGAAAAAAAGATAAAGCAAATGTCTCATTCTCAGGGCCCTAACTCTCCTATATATAGTCTGAACCTAGCATATGGAGATTGAAACCTCTCTAATCAATTCAATGCGGAAGATCACACCCTTCCCTCTCATCATTACAATATCAAATAAACCTAATCACACTCGTTCCCAACCGTTATAGTGGTGATTCTCAGAATCAATGGCAAACAGGTTGCCTCATCCTATTCGATGAGAATTTTTAAAAAAAAATCTTCTATATGGGCAATATCCCCCAAAGATTTTATTCAAAATGGGCAATATCCCCCAAGTTCACAAAACAAATACATAACTGAAAAAGGAAAAACTTAATCAACCCATACGACTCCTACCTCACATATACTCCAACACAAAATTTTTTGCCATACTCAATTCTAATCTTTCCATTCTATCAACATAATAATATATAGAGCACTTTGGAGAAACCGCTCCATTGTCTAACTAAGCATCATGTACACCACTCGGCTTCCATCAACTCTATATAACTCCACAGCTGCCATCTAATCATTCAACGAGACCACTGCACCACTCATATCATCCTCGACTGCAATGGAAACTTCCTCTTCACCTACATTGGGCTTGCCAGGATCCCTAATCTTGACTACCGACTAAGACTTCCAACCTTTCGATGATTTCTTCTAATGAAATTTGCTCCGGGGGAAGGGCGAGGTCAGTGAACAAGATATACAAAAATGAATTCAGTGGTTGTTCAATGATCTTTCCCCCAGTCCGCTCCTTAGTGTCCTCTTCCACAACCTTTTCAACAATGATGGCATTATCATCAACAATTACATTTTTCTCGGGAGCACTCACCTCCTTAAGAGCAGCTTCACCCATGCCTTTTTTCGTACTCTTGAGAGGAAAGGAACAATTCTTCTTATGATCCAAAGACCTTTCATGTTTATAAGCCATAACCAAAGTAACATGAATGACCATCTCCTTCGTCAATTCTCTCTCTCCCTCATTCTTGCACTTTTAACTAACATAATAAATATTACGTTCAAATCAATTCTCTCTCTTTCTACCTTTCTTTTTGCCTTCATTTTCCTCACACAGCAAGCCCACAACCCGAAGATAAGTTCATAAAATACGACTGACATCATCCATCGGACAAATCTAAATTCAGCACTTATAAGCTTAGTTCATCATATATTTTATTTATGGAGGCTCTTCTACATCAAAATTAATCATTATTTTATAATATATTCACACTGATCCTGTCTTAATAATTGTTTGGTCCACTTTGGTGATCGCTTTGATGCACTATTCCAGTCGCAGTATGCCTACTATTCTAATCATTCTTCTTTTTTCAATATCTGGAAACTTGGCCCACATGCATCAAAGGAATTCGTGGAGCCTCACGACGATACAGCTGAGCCTCTGAGAAGATAACGACCATTGTGTTATTACGTATTAGTCTGTTCACTCAAGAACATTGGTCTCAATGAGGCAAGGTTAATGCATATATGGCTCTTCTCCCAAGGACAAGTTTTTTTCCATAATAAGAAGCGTATTATTTCTTGGCCAGCAATCCTTATTCCAAAGAAAGGCATGATCATCCAGTAGTGCTCCTTGGCATCAATCTTTCTAGTTCACTAAGTATGGTCATTTACAGTTCTGCTGACAACAAACAATCATTTTTTAGTTTAGTAAGAATTCTTTTGCCAGATAGAAATGTGGCCTTCTGATGTTCAAATAAGTGTTGGCGAGGCTGGAACGTAGCAGAAAGTTGTGCACGGCCGGCTTATTTGTAGCAAGTTCACCTAAACAGCATGTTGATGTGAATATTTTAACCCAATTAGACAAATGAAGGCTTTATTTTGAGCGGCTTTTTTATTGCTTCCTAAAGCAACTTCGTAGCATAAAAATTTTAATTTTTGTACTTGGAAGCTTCTTTAGGAAGCAGAAAGAAAGGCATCCCAAACGAGCCGAAGAATCATATAAAGATCTATTGTATCAGCAATTTCAAGAGAAGGGAAGCTGACATCAAACCCAGAACAGATCATCCACTGGTTAAAGCAGCGTCACTACAATGAAGTGGCTGCAAATCTTTCCAAAATTATAATTTAAATTTACCTCAAACAATTGTGCTTGCTAAACGACATTACAAAGATCTCTATATATCAACACTAACTTCCCTCCCAATTCACACCCAAAAAAATAAAAATTTGAAATCATGAGATACATCATAACTCACAAGAACAGCAAATTGCTCAAAAGAACTTACTGCTGTATAGATCCACGACTTGAAGTGAACACCATAACTGAGCTACGGCTGGAGGGATACACAGGAATGACGCCCAGGTTGTATGGCTTGATGCTGGGCCCAGCCAGATTGCCTTCACCCTGATTTTTCCTAGCCTTCGACCTGTCGATCCTCGCACGCCGTACTACCTCCTGGATTTGTCGGTCATGATCCTTAAGCATCTGGTCTACATTTCCAGATGGGCGCGGCAATGGTCCTGAGTAGTGTATTTTGTTACCCTTTGGACCGAAACCTGGGTGCTGCAATGAAGGCAATTTTGTGAATATTCGAATTAGCAAGTAAAATAAAAGCAGGATAAGTTTACACTAGCAGATTCATCAAATTCCTTAAAAGAAGAATTGCCCTTCGAAGTTCAAACTGCTGCAAAAAAAAAAATGCATGAAGTCCAGACATTTTCTACGAAAGGTATAACTTAAAAGTGTAAAACGTTTACAAATAGAATGGGATTTTAAGAGAACTAAAAAATTGCTGGACTAACGCCATTTGGTGGATGCATTTAATAATCAAATGACTTTTACACATCTAAAAAGAAAAACTTAAATGTAATGCTTTAATTTTCAAATACAAGATGAGTGGAAATGAAATCACAATTAAGTTGAATGGATTTTAGATTTAAACACCCCTAAATAAAACAATGGATTTAGCAATCAAAATAATATTACCTTTAACCAAAAAAGTTGAGTTGTTTTAGAATTACAACCTTTTAAAAATGATTTGTAATCCTTCTACAGCATCTTGAAACATACGATTTCTAATTCCTTGTGACTTTGTTTGCATCCAACCATGCGCTTAAAAAGGTTTATTGTAAGAGCGCTGATCTTGAAAGCTACAATTTGCATTAGAAAGCGCTTACTAGATGTAAAATCAATTCTGTAAATCATTTACACCAAGCATAATAACATAAAATTTTTGTAGCATTTGCCTGTTAATACTTCCATGTTTTAGACAAATCTTCAAAAAGCAGGTATGTAGTTGAGAAGGAAATGGCATTCAGTAAATAAAATGTATGACATTTTTACTTCCAATTTATCTATCATATAAATGCATAATAATTAAACAGAGAACCTACGAAGGGAAAAGCCTAAAATTACTAGAACAAGCTTTTGGATTCATTCAATATTCTGTTTCAATGCTCATCCATTGTTTGGTTAAAAGCTAAACAAATGTACTTGTGAACTCCTGTGACTTCCTAGAAATCTAAATTTTACCAAATCAATGAAACTTTGTATGAATGCTCAGAAGTACTGCTGTGAATGGATATGTAAAATATGAAAAGAACATATCACACCAATTCAAATTACTTACTAGAGACTGGTTCATGTAGCTGTCACTTTCATCTTCCTTCCTCTGAGACACTCCATGATACAATTGATCATATCTTCTTTCTAAGCGCTCATTTCCAGATTCGGATAATCTGCCAGAGGCACCAGTATTTTCTAGCTGAGAACTATTTCGTTCACTTGCATCTAAAAAAGCATTCCTCCTTGCAGCCACTAATCCAGATAGAGATGATAAATTGGCTGCAGATGACAGCTTCAAAGCAGCATCATCATTTTTCCTAGCTGTAGCCCACTGTCCCCGATTAACTAAAGGCCCTGAATGGGAAGATTTCTGAGAATAATGACCATGAGAAAGTTCAGTTGCTTCCAGGTTGCGGGTTGGCCTTGGTGGTTCAATTGGAAATCCAGAGGCAACTTCCTCCTGATGTGGATTGAATTTCTCACTCCTGCTTATAGAATTACCCTGATTTTTCCATTTCTGTGATCAAAGCCAAAATATAAAAATAAAAATTCAAATAAGATGGAGCGGGCATGAATTGCAATAAGGATTTGGTGGAAAGAATCACACAATAACCTGAAACTTGTCCTAACAAACAAAAATATGTAAATTGTAAACTACAGTCGCAATACATAAGTCATATTTTGTTGGAAGCGAAACACTTCTCAAGCCCAAAAATAAGTTCGACGTGTCCTAAAATAAATTTCCCCACAAAAATCTCAGAAACATGCTGCATGTGTAGCTATATTAGTCAAAATATTACCTTTACCGAAACAGATAACTCAGCATTGGCATCTGGTGCAGGAACAGCTCGTGATTCTCGAAGTCCTCCCCTTTCCAGGTCTAACCTTTGCAACTTCCCTCCAGAAGCACCTTGCCTAATAAACTAACAAGGTAAGATATCGCTGTCCAACTTACACACAATAATGTTCATTTGTCCACATCACCCAAAGAAGGGACAAACAGTCATGCACAAAAGTACAAGAGAGATATACATACGATGGTGTTCAATAATATGTAACGAGATCATTAGAAGTATTATTCTAAACGAAAGAGAACAATCAAAAGTAAAAACAGAATGAACCTCACAACGCATGGTTTCTTTTTTTTCCCTAGGAACCTCAAAACCTACAGGATATAGGGAAGCAAATGTTCCAAAAGAAGAAAATTAAGAAATTCAGATATATCTCACTGAGGTTTTTCTATGATTTACTTGGATAAAAATGCTGGCAGTAACATATATAATATTACATAAGCTTATAAGAATTCAACGAAACTGTCTTTCTTGTATCCACGGGGGAAAGAAATAAACTTTTTGGTCAAGAAAAGGCAGCGAACTGGCCGAAATAACCCCACAGAAAATTTACCACAACACTATCTAAAACCAAGCAAAATCGAGCAGCATGATTAATACTAATGGTAGAATGGTACGAAACAGAAAAGAAAGAAAGAAAGCTTGAAAGCTTAGATTTTTGCAAATAATGGATTTAGGGTCCTCAAAGATCATTCAAATTCCAACATACCGGGAAACAACTGATGTATACCTACAAAACGTACCTGGGATGAATTTCCAATGGAAAAAAATAATGAATTTCAGGTGTAAGAAATGCCATTAAAATCACTTGACCATGGCGCCTTACAAGAAATTATATCAATGACTGAACAACCCGGTAAAAGTAAAAGAGGTTCAAATTTTTCATTTTCATCCACATCTTTTATATGTAGTACCATAGGTTAGTTTCAGGCCTTCAACACCATTGATTTTTGTCAGGTCATGTGATGCCCCAAATGACTGCCATCACATGATTACAATATATTTTTGACTGATTTTTGTCAGGTCATGAGAAGGGCAGAGTTGCTACTACTTACCCATCACTTCGCCATTTTAAGTGGAAATGACAAGAAAACGTACCGAGCTACAAGTATTCATGTATATAGTGTGATACTGTTGACATATACTACACCTAGAAAATTATACCATTGGGGACCGCTGCAATATATTATTTAAACTCCTGTCTAACGATAGAAAACCTAGTGGATTAAAGTAATGGGCCGAATCTCAGCTAGAAGTAATTTAACCAGTATGCAAGCTTCATTGGTTAAAAACAAAAAACAAAAGAAAATTATATTTGATTCATAAAGAAACTAGGAGAGAAGCAAATCAAAGCTAGCACAGGTTAAAATGAGTATTTCTAAGTTAAATTTTAAAAGCATATTATATATCAGATAAGCCATTATTCAAAGAGTTTTGCCCTTATTTTGCGAAGACTTTATCACCCGGTTCAAGGTTTCTCATTGGTGCAAGCCTCAATGGTTAATTGCCACTCCCAATCACAAGAGAAAAACTTATTAAGGCCAATTAGTAAGTGCTAAATTCATAGCTTATACCAGTGATTTGATTTTAGGATAAATAAATATACCAGCTTTATCTTAGAGCAAATGGTAAGGGATGATGTCGAATCAAATCAAGATCTCATAATTCCATCATCCCAAACCATCCTAGACTCTAGTCTAATTATTCAAATAAGCTAAGTTGATCCAACCTAACTTAATGATCTTTGATAATAACCATGAGTTGCATCATCAAAGAGGGACATTGTAGTCCCTGAGAGGGAGTTTTAAGGGGATAATTGAAGTCAACCTTGGGAAACAAAGGGTTTTATGCCCCATCAAATGTATTATATAATTCATAACTCAAGAGGTAAGCCATAGTGAAACTTCTAAGCCTTGGCTATAACCATAATATAATGTTGTTATAAGGCAAACCTGTTGCAACTCATGACCCCGAGTTTGAGATTTTGAT